CATAAATTCCCAAGGAAACCTAACCAACAGCTGACCAAAACTCACTAGTACCAGGTGAGAGACAGAACAGATAGACAGTGCTCTGCTCTGGGTCCAAAGCCAGGCAAAGCTCACACTGTGGCTTAAACCTCTCGTCAGGGCACCCTGGGTCCCACCAGCCCCTCCACGGGCAGCCTGACCCCTCGCCCCCAGTGCTTGCAGGGCAGCTGGAGGGACATCGACCTCCCACCATCTGTAACGCCACACCCCAGAGCAAAACAGAGCATGGTGACAACCATGGAACAGCTCTACAGTACCTGGGCAGTGACACCTTGGCGTGGTGCCAGCAACTCTAAACAGCCTGCACTGCAAAACACAGAAATTAGGCTGGTTACAAGAACTCCCACCTCATTTTTAATGAAGAAATTAAGTGTAAATTCCCAGTTTCCTTTCTGTGGCTAATCCTCTGGATTTATTTGAGTAGACGTAGGGTTAGAGCACATTTAGTTTCATGTTTGGAATTTCTAAATTAGTATAAACCAGCACTTCAAAGTAACTCAGCTCCTATAAAACCCAATCCCATGGAGATGCCACAGTGTATTTGGACAGTAAGTAGATGCTTTGTCACATTCCCACGTGTATATGAGATTTTTTTCTTTGGGAACATTTTCTGAATGGTTTTAAACCACATTTCCATGCCCAGGCACACATATATACAGAGACTGTTTATATAGTCTACCCAAGGAGTTCATTTTATTTAACAACCCATTATAGAACAGCTCACTGGTGGGTATCTCATCATTACACCCCCAAACACAGTGTTCAGTGACCATGCAGGATCTAACACAAAGCCACAAGAGCCAGAAACTTGAGAATTAGTGCTGAAACATTTCATTATCCCATGCCACTATGCCTATGGTTTTCAGCAGAGGAAAAAAACTGGATTTTCAGCCTTTTTCGAGTTGCAGACCCCAAAATATTTCCCAAGAAAGATGTAGCTCCCTGGCCAGCAAATCTAGGCATAATAAATATGTCTGCTTTCTGTATCTCTCCAGAAGTTTTTAGGAGACCATGGGGCTCATGCAGAACCCACAGAAGACACTGAGTTTGGCACAGCTGTGAGCATGGGATGGGGTTTCCAGTTCAGCTTTTCCTCAAATGAGCTTGTTCATCACAGCAAAATATGCACACAAAGGTGCCTGGCCATGTCCCCTCCCAAAATACCCATTGAGAGATGGAGCAGTGGCAAGAGGACACTGTGGGGGCTTTGCTGCATTGGGACATGGCTGTGATGCGGTGTGACCACAGGAACAGCCAGGCAGAGCTTTGTTTTCAGTGGCACTGAGGGGACACTCCTGGGATGCCCCACATGGCCACTGCTCTCGAGCCATCTAGAAGCTGGGGATGGGCTCTTGCCTGCTCTCTTTCATGACAGCTTCAGCATCCCACAGCTGTGTCACACTCCAGCCATATAGCCACCATAACCTTCAAACCCACTGGGCCACGATCCTCCTGGGGCAGAATAGCTCAAACAGGAGCTACAACTCCACGTAGTGTCCCAAGAATTTGATAAGGTCTGTCAGCACACTGCTGCAAATGCTGTTACAGGCAGTTTGCTCCAGAGAGCTCCTACTCCTCTTCCCTTCTGGGAGCTTGCGTCCAAATTCCATATAGGCTTTGAGTAGGCAAAACACCGCAGTGACTCCATGAAAGTATTCCAATTTAGCTGCATCTGACACAAAATTCATTATAAAAAATTATTTCTGTTGAGGGGAAGCAATCCTAGAGCTCACCCACTCACTGTCGGTGCAAGAAGCCAACCAACCTAAATCCTTCCCTCACACATCCTCCTTCCCCTAAGCTGCCACTGTGAGTTCATCTCCTCTGTACGTGACTTTTCAGCAACCCTCATTGAGAAGAGCCAACAGCCCCCACTCCTGACCTAGACCATCCTCCTCTGCACATTTTCTCCTCGTCTGACACAAAGCTGTTAAGCATGTGCTTAATTTCAAGTAAGCATTTCCATCGAAGAGAGGGGCTGTTTCCAGGCCAAGCTGGTGGCTCTGCTTCCCCACCCTGGGGAATGCAGGCCAGCAGGGCAGCTGGCAGACCCACCTGCCCCAGCCACCCTCCACAGCCCCCTGTGTGGCCAACCCCACATGGTCACAGTGGGAGCCAAACAAGTGGCTGCCACCACATCGACCTGTACAGGGACAAAGCCCCTTGTTCTGTGCCAGCCTATCTCAGACCGCACAGCACAGCACTGAGTGGTGAGAACCCCTGCCCCACATCAGTCAGCTCTGAGCAGAAATGCTGTGGGACTGACAGGGACGGCTGGCATCTTGAGTGCCCACTCCCAAAACCCCTCACTGGTGGGTGAGTGCTGGAGCTCCCTGGCTGAGTCAAAGCAAGTGCTGCTGGAGAGGAGCATTCAATTAGACTGGAGAGCACACAAGGGGTCAGTGATTTTCCTTTCACACTGCATTACACCTAACAGCCCATGGTCCAGACTTGTAACAACTGACTACTTCGGCTGAACACACGCTTGGAATGAATCAGGCCAATATCAGGGTTTTTTCCTTCCAAAAGGAGATTAAAACCCAAGTATTTGGTCCTCAGGAAGAGCTAACGAGCCACACTTACTTACAGAGCCCCTATCAGTGATGCACAGGCAATGGAAAAACTGGAAACCCACTAACAGGAGGAGAAGTGGAGCTCACAACGGGAAGACAGATACTGATCTGCTCTGCCAGACCAGCTGCTGCTTTAATACATTTTCCTGCTGCATTTCCACGTCTAGGACACAAAACGTATTAAGAGTATTTCACTGTCTTGAAGGTGGAAACTGATGTTAGGTTTTTGCAGCACAAAGAAACACACTATTACAACTCTTCTCTTGACACTGCCACTCTGGGACTTGAAAATAAAAACAGCTTGTTAGCTTGTTGGCAATTCTAACGATTAGGAAAAGGCAACAAAAAAAAAAAAAAAAAAAGAAGAAAAAAAAAAAGAGAAAGGCTCTTCTGACTAGCAGGATGATCCCAGCAGGCTCGATCAGTGGTTTTAGAGGAATATGCTTCAAATAAGTGGGAAGTGTAGAAATATTAGACATGAACGAATATTAATGTTATGCTTCATTTATATCCTGCTGTACTTGACATCAAAGGATCTCAAAGCAGCTTTACAAATGCAATCTGACACTACACGAGTTGGGTTTCTGAATAACAATAAATGGAGGAGTACGTGGGAAACTGAGGTACCTCGGGTTCAATGACTGGTTCAAGGCCAGTGACACAGTAGGCCAGGGTCTTGTTCAATGACTGGTTCAAGGCCAGTGACACAGTAGCAAGGTCAGTTGGTACTAGAACCCAATCTCCCCACCCATCTTATATCACCACTGGTCTTACTGCTGTCTCTACATTAACAAATTTTCTTGCAACCTGATCTTGCCATGGTTGCAAACACGGAGGGCTCCCTCTGACTCCCAATGGCTTGGCAGTGCTCAGTTATTTTAGCTCATTCCCCTGACCCTCATTTCCTGTTGCTCATCCCTTCAAGAACACAACATCCTTCTCAGCCTTTATGGTGACAACATGCTCCTGGTCGCCCTCCCTGCCTACCCAGGTAGTACTTGGAAAGGAAGGTACTACCAAGAACATACATTACAGTGGAACAGTGTGACAAGTTGGGACCAAAGATGGAGTGAAATCTCATCTTTGTGTAGTCTCCTTTGAGTCACTCATTAACTAGCTGTCTAAATACCTTATTAGATACAGCAGTTGATACTTTCAACATCAGTAGACTGGTGTTAGTCATGATTATCTTCTTTACTGAACAGAAGTTAGAAAAAACTGTATCCCCACAGCAGCCCTGGAGTCCTGGGGAAGCTTAAGGGTGATGGGTACATCTGCCTCTGTGTTTCAGTTACGGCCAGGCTGTTTGTTCACTTCCTAAGTGCCTCCAGCAGCCCCAGCCCCGATGCTGCTGCTTGACCCACCTTGGCAGAGACAGCTCAATCCCACCCGGGGCTGAGGGGCTGCTCCGCAAGGATGCTGAGCATCAGCCACAGACAAGAACTACGGGTGCCTTCACATCCTGTAAATAGGATTCCTGACTCCCAGTGAGTCCCCTGAGAGCCGTGACCATGCCAAGATGTCAGGACTGAGCTCCCAGTGTTTAACACACCCAGTCTTTGTGGAATTAGCTCCAACTACTAGATTTTCTGGCTGTCAGGCAGCTTGTACTTTGTCACCAGGGAAAAACTGTTCAACTTTGCTAGAGTAGGTCTATGAACCAAGTGCATTAAGACTACATATTTTACCACAGAGTAGAGATGCCACACTAAACACTTCGGTTACCATGGGAAACCTTTCTCTCTTTGCCACTGGCATTGCACAGGGAAGCCCAAGCCCAAATGCTCTATCTCGCCTCTGAAATCAAACAGATGTTTTCACAATCTTTGATGGAGCTGAGCTGTGCACTCGTCCCAAAGGAAGGTAAAAATGCAGCGTTAAAGCAGCCCTTTTTTCCTTCTCTTTTTTCCCAAGCATGATCTATTTTTGGTGAAAAGGGAAACAGGCGACTGTGTCTCGCGCTAACATTTACGGCCACTCAGTAACAAATTGTGACAACGGCAAACTTCTGCCACGAACTCGGGGAGCCAAGGCTGCCTGTGCGCCGTCCCTGGCAGGGCTGTGCGCCGCGGGACGGGGCATGGGGCTGGCGATGCCCACAGACATCCGGGCGCGCAGGGCACCCACGAGAAGTGGGGCACCGGCGACCAGGTTAGGGGAGCGATGCTGTCCCCGAGCAGGCGGGAGGGTCTCCGGGGAGAGCAGGGAGGGCAGCGGGTATGAGGCTCAGCCGCCCGCCCGGGGGAAGCGGGGGATGCGCTCCAGCTCGGGAGAGTGGAGGCAGCAGCGGCCGCGGGACGGGACACGACGAGACGGGGCCGCTGTCCACCGCCGGCTACCGGGTCCCCGCGCCCCCTCGCCCCGGCAGGTGTCCGCCGCCCGCCGTACCTGTATATTTCTCTTCTCGCAGGCCGGGCCGGTGCCCTGCACCACGCTGTCCAGCACGGTAACCATGCCGGCGGCCGGGCTGACGAAGCAGGAGTTGCGGGCGGCCCGGATCGTCTCCTCGATCTCGGCGAAGCGGAAGACGCAGAGCGCGGACTGCGGCCGGCCCCGGCCGCCGGCGGGTCCGGCCCGCTCGAAGACGCCGAAGAGCAGCTCCTCGGGGGCCGGCGGGGCCAGGGCCGGGCCGTGAGGGGCGGCGGGGCTGCGCCAAGCCGCCCGCGCCGGGAAGACGGAGACGAGGCGGGTGAAGGCGTCGGCGGCGCCGCCGCAGCGCAGCCCCAGCTGGATGTAGGACTCGGTCAGCTTCTTGGTCTCGCCGCTGCCGTTGAGGGTGGCCTCGGCTGGCTCGCCCAGGCAGATGCGGGCCAGCAGGCTGTGCGCCGGGCTCTCCTTGTCGCCCGCGTTAGCCTCAGTGTTGAGCGCCAGGTAGGCGTACGGGCGGCGCGCGGGCGGCGCGGCCCCGTGCTGCAAGAAGGCGCGGACGAAGCTGAGCTTGTGCCGCGCCTTGTCGCCCTGCTTGATCTTGAGGATGTTGTCGTCGGAGGGGTTGATGTCGAAGGTGAAAAGCTTGGCCAGGTCGCCGCGGGCGTTGAGGGCACGGATAGCGATCTCGGGCGTGTTCTCGAAGCGGTGGTCCTCCAGGCTGTGGTTGCGGGGGAAGAAGGGGCTGCCGAAGCCGGTGTAGGTGGCGGCCACCAGCAGCCGCGCCCCGCCGCCACCGCCGCGGCGCAGCACCAGCCCCACGGTGGAGGCGTTGGGGTGGTTGGCCGCGACGTTCAGCATGCTAGGGAAGACAGCGACCGAGTCGCTCCCGCCCGGCGGGAAGCGCACGGCCACTGCCGAGATGTTTGCCATGCTGCGCAGCTGGCAGAGGCCCTGGTAGATGGAGCCGCAGACGACAAGGACGCCCTGCTCCGGGTCCGGCTGCAGGATCTTGTTGTAGTTGTTGGTGAGCACCCTGGGGTGCTCACAGGAGGCCTGCGGCAGCTGCGGTGCGTGGCACAGCGGGCTGTCCAGCACCGGCCCCACCGCCGCTTCCGCCTCCAGTGCCAGCTCGCCCCCCGACAGCTGGAACAGCCGGTTGACGGCCGCCAGGTAAACGCGGGAGCCGGGGCCGTCCAGCGCAAAGTTGTTGGTGAGGGTGGGCGAGAGGAACTTGCGCTGCACCTCCAGGCCGGCGGCTCGGCCGGGCAGGAGCAGCGGCAGCAGCGGCAGCAGCAGCGGCAGCAGCGCGGGGGGCCGCGGCTCAGCGCCTGCCGCCGGAGCCGGGACCGGAGCCGGGACCGGAGCCGGAGCCATCCCGCCGCCGCGCCGCACAGTGCATGTGCCCGTCGCCGGGCGCAGGAGGGGCGGGCGCGGGGCCGCTTCCTGCGGAGGCAGCGCCCGCCGCCGAGCGACGCCCGCGGGAAGTGGCGGCCGCGGCGGGGGGCGGCGGGGGGCGGCGGGGCGCGCGGCCGCGCCCCTTCCCTGCCCCCGCCCTCCGCCCGCCCCCGCGCCCGCCCCCGCGCCGGTGCTCGCCGCGTCCCGGTGCCGCGGGCCCGTCATGTGCGTGCCGGGAAGTTACCGGCTGGGCGGCACCGAGCGGCTCCGAGGGGCTTCGGACAGGGCGTCCCCCCGCCGCCTGAGGGACTGCGCCGGGCTGTCCCCCTTCTCTGCTCTGCCTCCTTCGCGTTTTCGAGCAGGACAGGCCGGGGGGGAAGGGGCGGGGGAAGAAGCACTTTTCCCAGCTGCGGAGCAGCACGGCGAGCCGGAACAGCCGCTCCCGGAGCCCCCTCGCACCCCCCGCAGCCCACGCATCCCCCCGCAATACCCGCTCTCTCGCTCCCCGGGGACCTGGCGGGGGACGGGGCCCCACCCCTGCAACGGCTCTGCCCGCGCCACTCGTCAAAAGCGGAGCACAGCTCGGACCGCGCGCCTCCTCTGCCCTCCAACGGGCGCCGCTTTAACAAGAAAAGACCCAAAGAAGTGATTTCCCAAATTACACACACTGGGATGAAGTAGGTGACAGCCCTTGAACCACCGCCCCATCCCGTGGCATCGCTCCACCTGAGCGGGTTCGCTCCTGCTGCCTTCCTCCCCGTCTGCGGGAATGTTCAGCTGGCTCCTCGTGGCGAGGGGACACGTCCGAGGCTGAGGAGCGCTCCTGGGCAAGGCTGTAAGGAGAGCCCGGGTCCAGCCCGGGATCGGGGCAGACAGGGCCGCGCATCCTGCAGCAGATACTTTGCTTGCCCATGTATCTCAAGTCCCTGCAGGCTTCACGAAACAGCCCTGAGCAATTACCCAGCTGGTCTCCTGCCACAGTATCGTGACACAGGGCACAGCCATAGGTCGCCCAGGGGCTTGACTCCCCGGGCAGCACACCTAGGTCCCGATGCAGGAGGGGACAGGGGTGTGCTGCAGCACATGGCAAATACCAAGGTCATGGCATGCTCAGCACTATGTGCATGCTTCAAGCTGAAGCATTGGCAGAGCTAACAGGCAAGAGGAGTGGCTGTGAGATGTGGGCACAGCATCCTTGTCTCCAGCCTTGGTTTCCACCAAGAGCAGAGGCCTGGCTGGAGCACCCTGCACTGGAGGAAAGTCAGCGCTTGGTCTCGCAGTGCAGCTGAAGCGGTTGTATCAGCATAACGGCGAGGGTCGAGCACGGAGGCATCACACCATCCACAAATAGCGAGCAGCCTTTAAAACAAGGGTGGGAAATGGAGGCTGGTGTTTGATCACAGCTGCCTGGAAATGCTGCGCAGGCGAGCCCTGGAGAGCTGTCCTCCCTCTCCCCAGGCTGTGCCTTAGTCTCCTGCCCATTCTTGTGGCATGAAACTTTAGTTATACAAAACATGTTAGTGAGGCTGATGGGGATTCTGTACGACTTCTGTTCTGAAGAGAAAAATCCTCTGTTGTTGTCTAATCTCATTTCTACACCTGCCAATTTTCCTTTCCCCTTCCTGTCTCCTCACCCTCTTCAGAGCACTAATTAATACACAACTGCCTTGGCCATGCCATGTCCACTGAAAATCTGCATTGAATTAAATGCTATGCTTTCTTGCTATCTAACTCATTGTCTCTGCTAATCATATCCTTAATTAAGAATTATTAGCTGTTTTTAAATGTGGCACTCCCAGTTGTTAGTGGCTTTTTCTCTTTAAACTACAAGTTAGCAATTTTTAAATGTGATCATGTCTTTAATTGCATAGAAATAAACCGCCATGATCCCGAACCCTTAATCTGCCTATTTTAGGATTTCTTATGGCTGCTTACCCTGATAGCAGAGCATCTTCCATGTGAAATCAGCCTTTTAAAGCATATCAAATTAGGTTCCAGATTACAGGGAATTAAAAAAAAAAAAAAAATAGGGCAAAGAACATTGAAAAATGTGTGACTTACCCAAAGGTATCCAGTACTCGCTCTGTCAGAAAAAATTCCCCAGGAACTCTGACTCCTATTGCCTATGCCAAGTATTTGTCTACACTGATACAATTAAAGACAAAATATTTGTGGTATTGAAGGATTATTTGACAAAGATTTTATTGCTATTGTTTTTAGGAAAAAATTTTCTGGTAAGATGCTTTGAGGGGAATATTTTCCAGAAATGATTTCCCACCCCTATTATCTGGGCTGTTATAAGCTCCAGTGAGTATTTCAGGATAATGCTCCTAATGGAGTAGTAGAGGTTTTTAAACCTCTCATATACAGATCTCACCATTATTTTTTGTTCAGGAAGAGAAAAAGGTCAAAATTAAACCACAAGCCTCTTGTCATAGAGCATCACCCCCTGACGAAATCCCTTCCTCTTTGACTCCTGCGCAGGTTTGAGGATACCAGCCTCTCAGCTGGGGCAGGGGGAGAGGAGCTGTGCACACAAGAACTCAAAACTGCTTTAATTATTGATAAATATATTTACACAAGAACACTTTCCCTTTAGGGGAAACATGAGTTACTCATGCAATTACTCAGGTTATATTGACTCAACACTGTCAAACCCCTGGATTTCATCACTTTAATACAGAGAGTATAAACGTCTGTTTATTTAGCAGGGGTTATCTGTGAAGTGCCCATAGGGTGCCCTGTGGATTTGGGAAGGACGTCCTCCCTCGCAGCCAAAGGTGGCTGGGCTTGCCTCGGCAGGGCAGGGCAGAGCAGAGGTGCTGCCCACAGGGCAGGCATGCAGGACCACTGGTACCTCGATGCCTGGGGTGGCAGGGGCCCCCAGGGACCTGGGAGTAGAGCAAGATGCTCCACGCCTTTGTCTCTGACCCTGAGTGCGCGGGGAAGGCCTGATCAGGCAGCACATGCTGGCACCCAGGGCAGCTGCCCCTCCTCTGCCCCACATGGCCCTGCAGAGAAAAGCCTGGGGTCAGTCACCACAGGAGGCCTACAGGGCACCCTGGCAGAGCAGCTACCACCCCAGAGCGGCTGTGGGAGAGCCCTGGCAGTGCAGTGGATCAGAGGGTGCTTCTGCTCTGACTCAGGCAGCCAGTCCCCTTTTTTCTCATTTCCTTTACTCCCTGCCCCTCAGTGTGCAGTTTGGGTCTATATGATTGCAGAGCAGGTTGGCAGTAGACCACAAGGTTAATTCACAAACACAGACACATTTTGAATCTCTTTAGGTGCTTGCTTTCCATCTCAGAAACCTGAACTGATGGAAAATGGCCACTGAATAGCTGTATTGCATCCGAGCAAGGGTCCAGACCCCGTCTTCTCCCCATCCTGCCAGAGGCCATGAATGGTTATCCTAGAGAAGAAGGTAACAGGTAGGAGAAAGTGGAGTGGTTCCCTTGGTCTCCACTGTCCCAGCCCAGAGATGGCCGAGAACAAGGCCAGAACAAGGCTGTCCCCAAAGAAGCATTTCTGAACAAAGAGCTATTCACCAGGGAAACACAAGGCGATATGAGGAGGAGCCAAGAAGCACTTGGACACAGAGCAATCATTGCTTGAACTAGAGCTGTTCCCTGATCATCACACTTCCCAGATTCTCTCCAGCCATGCCTGTTACCCTGCCCTGATGCTCTCAGTTGTTAGTCTCCTGAATCATCAGGCTGGGTACATCAGCAAATGCTCACTCAAGCACTTCAGGGCACTCCGAAATAACAGTGGGCTTGGAAATAGACTGATTAGCAATCCTCAGTGTATTTTTGGATGAGTGTGGACTGAGACCCCATTTTATTGTTACTAATCTGTGTTGCAGGAACTGCTCATGGATGAGGCCAGACTGTCATTACTGTTTTTACTAATGATTTAGCACACTGGGAGTCTGCTAGGTGCTTAGCAGAAAGACTAAGGCAAGGTCACTTCCCCAGCGTCCTTTAATCCAAACACATGCTCCGGTGTGGTCCCAGGCTCCGCTGCAGACGGCTGTAACAGGAACTGCAGGGGCACAGCACGCTCCGCTGCCACCACGCTGCTGGCCTCCAGCCCTGTCTGAGGAAGGGTGAGAGGGATTTATGGGGACCTAAGCCACTTTCTGAGTAAAACCAGCCTTTTCTTCCTTGAGCCTCTTTGTTTTCAAAGACGAGCCTTTCCCAGTGTAATATAGAGCCTTGCTCTCCTCAGAATGTGTAATGCAGTCATAACCTTGTCTGCAGCATGCACCCAGCTGACGTGTTTGCCATGAGGGATTTGCCTCCTGAGAGGAGCTGTGCAGACAGAGATTGTGAGCACAAAAAGGTTTCTTTCTGGGTTAATGACAGATTTGGTGATGGTGAAAGTTCACACACACAATAATGCCAGGACTTTCTGGACTGGGAGGTTTATCACAAGGCAATAAAGATGTGTCTTCGGTAACCTGTGCTGACTTTGACCTGGGCCCTGTGGGTGAACAGAAGCTCTTTCACCACTTGGACCCTCACTGTATGCAAGAGTAGCAGGTTTCCCAGTTTTCCCCAGGCCTCCTTGGTGACCTGTTGCTATTATTTTCCTTAGAGGCTTAGGGAGGACTTGACACTCACTTATTCCAGCTTCACATTGGTCAGGGCTGGAGATGTGGCTCATGAGTTAAAATACAGCTCCAGTTCTGATCTACAGGAAGCTCAGCCTGTGCTGAGGTGGTGGCCAGGTGAAGCACAGTCCTTTCCACCTGGTTACACTGACAGTCTCTCATCCATACCCGTCTCTTGTCATCATATGCAGGCATGGGTGCAGGTGGGCATGCTAGAGTTAGGGCCCCTGGCCCAGTTAGCACCAGCCTTAGAGGGTTTCTGTGAGTAGCAATGGTTTTCACACCATTTTGCCTGGGCTGGCCGAGCAGGGGCTTGTTAAGCCCCCCAGAGCTGCGGGGCCCATCCATGTCCCACCCGTGCCAGGCCCTGCGTGTCCTGACGTGGCCAGCCACGCAGGATGCAGGACTTGGCTCCCTGCAAAGGAAGCAAATTCAACATAAAGCAGAGCATTTCTTCATGGCAATCCCAGGAGAGGCCAATGCTGATTGCTCAAAACAAAGTTTGGCTGCCTTGGGAGGGAGCCTGACTCCTACCCCAGGGTTCACACATGCTGACCCATACAGCAGAGCCCTTCAACAGCAACCAGCAAGGCTGATCCTACCAGCTTTGTTCAAACATTCTCCACCAAAGCCTGGAGGAAGTTTTCCTTATGAAGTCAGGCAGGATCGTGCTGCATGCTCTGCAATATGCTAACTTCCCTGTGAGCAGTTGCTGTTTT